GAAATGCCGTTGGAATCACGGGCGCGCTGAGCGGTCGCGGGCATCAAATCATGTCAAACTGCCAACACTTGTACTTGAACGCCCGTTTTTCGCCCCCATCGATATCACTACCAGGTTATGTAGATGTAGATATATATGTTATGAGTTATTGTATGTAGCTGCTTGTAAGTGTATAAAAATATCTCGTATCTCGATAGCGTACGAGATATCACGCTGCACAAGCTGACAAAACAGTAGCGCATGTTTTTCGCGGATACATTTGCAACGCATACATACGAGTACATACATACATACGTGCATACATATTGTGGCAACACAGCCAACACAGCAGCTGTTGTACAACATGAAAGTTGTAATTAAAAATCAATTCGAAATGCTATGCCAAACGGTATGAGGAGTAAAAAAAATTAAATTGCTCAGGCGTAATTAAATAAGCAAAATGAAGAAAAATTAAAATAAAAAATAAAAAAAAAAATTGTGCAACTCAACGTTGAAAAGGAACCAAAACAATAAAAAAAAACGTAAAAAATGTCACCGATTTTCCTTTATAATTTCACATAAAGCCTTTGTACATACATACATTCTCTATAGGTAAATATGTAGTGAAATGTAAACACTTTGAACATTTAAAATTGGCTCGAGTTTAATTGAAAATGCGGCATTGCCGTTGACATGTACATATGTACGTAGGCATGTTAATGAGTTGCATACTCGCCTGCTTGTATAGATGTACATATGTACATTGCAATTGCAACACAAGCTGCAGATATATGTGCTTATGTATGTTTATAATTTTTATTTATTTTTAATTTTTTAATGCATTGCCACGGCATTTCGTCCCACTGTGCCGGGCATGATTTATTGCTATTCGACTATGTAAATTACAGTTTTAGCACCTTTCGGTATGTTCTTTGGTACACTTTCATATCAGTAAGTATTGCGCATTTCGTCATGAGCGCGAGTGAAAGAAAGATTGTATCTAATAACGGTATATGACATCACCATTTTTTCTAAGTTTTAATGGCAGTTAATTGCCATTACTTTTTTTTGTGAGTAATGGCGATGGACAATATATGTCAAGGGCGATTTGAATTATATACTGGAAAATCTTTAAAAAACATAAAATTCAAATAAATTTATTTCTAAAAAATATGAAAAATTATAGTTAAAATATTTGTAAATTTTTGTGTCATAATTTTTAAAAATTATTATTATTTAATATTGTTGAAAAATTGATTGAAAATATGTGCAAGTGCTTGTTGTCATTATCATTACTTTGAAGTTAATCAAAATCCAGATTTAACGAATTTTACTAAGTGTTTTTCTCGCATGATACATAAGTTGGTAATTTTATTTTTCATATTACCTAATTTCTTAGTTATATGAACTACAAAGTTATGAGTTTTCGAAGCCAACCTCAGCGTTATGTCGATGTGCTGAAAATCAGCATTATTTGAAAACTCAATATTACAAATTTAATTTTTTTCTTATTTTTAACTGCGATTGTTTGAGCTAAATAAAAAATCAATAACCTACAAATCCTACAAAAAATATTTTTTTTATCAATAGGAAATGAGACTCACATAAAAATAAATTTTTAGATATTTTTGTGCTATTAATTTAATAAAACATTTTCAAAAGAAAAATTATTTACCGCTACCAAATACTGGAAGTCCCTGGACATTTTTAAATAAAGTATATATATATATATATATACAGATGTTCTTAAATATATTAAAATATATTAAAATAATGATTGAATTTTTTGGAAGCAGACTAAGGCAAATAAAATGAAATTAAAATCGAGCAGAAAAATTTTTGTTGTAAATTTTCAAAAAAAATTATTGCTTCCTTTCAATAACTTAAATTACAAATATGTGTGTAGCTGATTGGGATTCAACTCTATTGTTTAAGGAAAAATATTATTATGCCTGTTTCTCCCGTTCAGGAAAACTGTGGACATTCGAAATAATTTTTTGCAGTCATTAAAGAGCACACATCCGATGAGCTGATTTATGAAAAAAACAATTTTTGGAAGATTTTTAATTGACAGTGTCTTTGTTTTAGTTTGCGATGTGAGCATAACGTATGTTTATAAACAAATTTTGTATATTTTGTCGAAATCGTCAAAATCGAAATTTAACAAATTCAAAATGCGGCAAATTAAGATTATCAAATTATTCTCAAGTGTTTAATTATAAAAAAAAAATTTGTAAACATATGTTTGTACATACGTGTATATATGTATGCTAAGCAGTAATCGATAGAAATAAAATTCCATGCAAACATATATATACATATTATATACAAGTATACTATATATATTTTACACGAATAATGACAATAAACAATGACGACATAAAGCCGAAATATAAAAAAACCCCACTGATAAGAAATATGAATCACTTGAACATTTTAAAAAAATTTGTATTAATTGCTGATTTGTTTGGAAAATATAGCGCTGGAAAGTATATTTGAAGGTAAACATTTTTTTATGAAAATAAAAAATAATTTGCATTGAAAGAGTGGTGTTTCTGTAACATAAGCGTTTATTAAAACATCCTTTTTCAGACAGTGTATTTTATTTTGATTTTAAATTTCACATAAATTTTTTTTAAAATTTTATGTCATGACGATGATTAAATCTAATTCGAGCTCTTTTATTTGCTAAAAAAAAAATATCTTTTTTTATACTTCAACATATGAGCTGAGTTAGGTAATAAAAAATCAATAGAGCGGCTGACCAGCTTTTATTTGCTATTGCTATTTTCATTGCCTATCTTTTTCATGTTTTTATATTTATTTTAATTTTTTTATTTTGTGCGATGTAGTTTAACGCATTCATAACTCCGGTTTGGGTTATAAAAAAAATGCACATAAAACGCTGGCGCGCATTAAAATGGCGCAAGGTGTGCATATAATGCGCATCAAAAGTGGGTTCTTCTAAATTTAAGCGCAGTTTATGAGCAGCTAGATATCCTTGAAACTTTGGCGCTGAGCGTCTGTGTGAGTGCATTTTTCTCAAGTTAAAGCATACATGAAAAATAAATAAATGCATTTTAATTAATTTAATATTATATTTGATTTAACTAATTTTATTAATGTTTGCTTAGCTCATCGATATATGTATAATAAATTAAGTTCTGTCATATTTATGTAAAACATAAAGAAATTGGAAATGCTACCGAAAAAATTAATGATGTAGCATATTGCACGGCACACACGCCTACACACAACACAAGCTCAGTGTAATATTTTTTTTTTTTTTTTGCAAAAAGCTGTATGACTTTTTCATCGAAACTAGTATCACTCATATTTGGTAATCGATTAAAAATTAGTTTGATTAATTGCAATTTAATCAATGAGCGCTCATTAGTTATTTCCATATAAAAAATATTCAATTAAGCTATAAAAGGCTAAAAGCTTTTAGAAATATATGTGGCTTGCTATTGTTTCCATAAAAAAATTGAATATTTGCATTAATGCAATAGTTAAATGTAAAATATTCGCTAAAAAAAAAGACAAAAATTGTTAATAAATACATACAAAATAGTAATTTTAAAAATTTATTTCGTTTTAGATATGCCTATCACAACAACAAAAAGTTCAATAAAAATTACATAAAAAATTCATAAATAAATTTTTAAAAGTGCATGAAAAAAGGCAGCGAACGCATATTTTATATATTTTCTTTGATAACTAAATCAAAGTTGTGATATACATACACACATAAATTCTTCTCCATATGATTACGATAAAAAAATCAAATTAAGAAAATCTTGTAAATAAAAATAAATTTGTCAATCGTATTTTTCGTGGCAAAATGGTTTGCCACTATGTATTATATGTATGTATATAATTGGCGCTTTGTAGCCGCTGCTCGCCCTCTAATTTGTCGTGTGCGGCGCAATGTTTTTCCAACAGATATATTTATACCCTACCGGACCGACCGCAATTAGAAAAATTGGTTTTCTATAATTTTGAATATTGGCCTTCAGAATGACAGTACGCAATGCTAACTATTCAGCTTTCGCTGCAAGTTTATTAATTTGTTATGCTTCCAATAAAATACCACGGAGCCCAGTGAAGATTGATTCTAAATGACTTATATAAGTCCCTCCGCCTGCGGTCCAATCAATCTTAAATATTTCTATAAAATGCTTTTTCACTTCTAAAAAAATTTCAGTTGGATATACAAAAAGGAATCCGAGCTTAACTTTTTCTTATATACCTGTGTGAATTTTTAAAAATATTTTCCATTTTTTAAGTACTCTCTTCATTTACCAAAAAAAAATCTCTTCCTCACACTTAATTGAAAACAAAATTTAAAAAATTTGTTCATAAATATTCCTTATCAGAATTTTTATGTAATCCGAGATTTACAAACGTAATACAAAGTTTCAGATTTTATTTTAGGGAGATTTTTTTCTCATCAAGCCAAATAAATTTTAGGACTTAAAAGTCAAAAATGATAGGATATAAAAAGAACTATACACACAAATATATTGATTTAAAAAATAATTTATTTATATTGTGTTGAATTTTCTTCTTCTTCTTTTTGATTGTTTGGTTAAAAAAATCTAAGAAATATGAGGAGTACATATTTTTTGAAAATCAATAAATCTAAGGTCCCTAAAAAATAATTTGTATCAAAAAAGTTTAATCTATTGTTATTAATATGGCCAAGTCGGTTTACTATTAACCTAAATGACATATTTTACTGAGTCAGTTTTGGCATGACATTAAATCATATGCCGAGTACCCACATCAACCTAAATCAAAGGCGAATACATAAAAGCCTGTTTAATATGGTATTAAACTATTTGAGTTAAAATATCACAGCGTAGTATTGGATGAGAAGAGCCCTGGCCTGTATTTGCACCCTACACTCCTTCCAAGTGGAATACCGTTGCAGAAAATTCCCCTTTAAATACTAAATATTACACCTACATAAATACGGAGTAAAAATTTTTATAAAATTAATTAAAATATATACGCACCATTACTAAACACACACCACTGTCATTACTGTGCACTGTCATTTAATGTTATGATTTTACGAAATTAAAAATAAAATTTATAACTACTAATCAGATTTTCTACACAAGCGTTGGCACTAAAAACGCAAGTAGTTGATTATTATCAAAATTTTTTTTCTCGCTTGCATTAGTTTTGTTAAACAAGAGTGATTTTTGTTGTTTGTGTTTCTATTTTGCTTAAATTAACACACACTGCACTTTGTGGTTAATCACCGACAATTAGTTGGAATAATTTTTGTGAAAGTAATTAACTTTTTTTCCTTGGCTGTGTACTTTATTTAAATTTAACTTTGATACGGCATTCTCTGCGTTGAGTTAATCCAACCACATTTGTTTCACACGTTCTAATGATAAACAGTTTACGTTTACCGGCGGGCACTTTTCACACACACAGACACACACGCCTGCGTTAAGCTGCTCTTGCACTTTTACCGACGCAAAATTCCTATTCAAAGTTGTCTAGCAAACTCGCGCACTTTCTCTTGTCTTTCTTGGTTTGTTTCGAAAAATTCGTGTTTCTTTTTGTTGCAAGAATTTATATTATTAAGCTGATAAAACACGTTAATTTGTGAGAATAAAAATTAGTTTAAAAATTTGTTTTAATTTTTTCCTTTTTTTGGTATTGAACACTGCTTGCACGAACGCAAATTGGTCAATCAAAACAGCGGTGAGTGAATGATGACAAAACGTACTGACAACACTGATTGACGACGGCGAGCCGGTGGGCGAGCGCACTTATTAACAATACACTTATTAACAATATACAGTTGTAGTAGCAGCGGCTAGTTAACGTCGGCACTGACTGCATATGTAACTAAGCAACTGACTATTCGTTTCACGGCTAACGACGGAGCGAGCGAACGAGCATGCAAACGTGCGAGCATACGTACGAGCGACACGGTACGACGATGCAAACAATCTGCGTAACAGTCAAAAGTAGACTAACATGAATTTCCAACATGAGCAACTACAAAGTTGTACAACAAATGGGAATTACAACACGACGACACGATGATGATGACGACGACAACAACAGCAAAAACCAAATCAAGCCAGGCAAGGCAAGGCAAGGCAAATGTATGTATGTGTGTATGTTTGTATAGGTACAACGACAACGACAACGAACTACGACATCGACACAACATCAACAACGACACGATGTATGTACATCCACAATAACAAAACAGCTACAGCAAAAAAAACAAAAAACAACAACTACAACAGCAATAACAATATAAGACAACCAATGCTATAACAACAAGAACACCAACAAAACGAAAACAGCAATAGGTAGTCGTAGTACAAGTAAAGCAACGATAATGGTGATAGCATGGCTGGCTGGCTGGCTGACTGGCTGGTTGACGGGCTGCCTTCAACGCAGTAGCTCACTCCGATGATGATTATTATGGTGGTAGTGCCCTGCTGGCGGCGGTATAGTGGTGGTGGTGTTGGTGATGGTGGTATTAGTGTTGGTGGTGTTGGTATGTTGACTCGACTACGTTGGTAATGGTGGTGGATTCAGTTTAGCTACGATGGCAATACTCGTAGCAATAATGAGTGTCAAACAATAATAATAACAACAACAGCAAACGAATGCTACAATACATGAGAGTACATCAAGAAAATAACAGGCAATCGCAGCAATAATACATACAAATACATGTGTACAAATAAGCTGGTACTCAAGCAAATGTACATACACACACACACACACAACACATCATGTAAAAGGGGCAAAGGAACACCAAAGAAAGGTTAGACAAAAAAAGCAGTGAACGAATTGACACACAGATACACAAATACCTAAAAAGATAAATTTTATTGAGCGCGTGCTATGCACACATATTGAGAGCAAACAGCCATACGCAAAGAGAGAGAGAGAGAGTGAGAGAGAGTTCAAACGAGTGTGTATGTTCACATAATGAGAGAGCATATGAAATGCATATAAACGGCAATGCATTTGAGCGTTAGCAATGTTGTTGGAAAACTTATATTTTATTTTATATTGTAACTGAAATCGTTGGAGCATTTTAAGGGTGAAGTGTGACGTACATACAAACATACAATTCTACATATATATATATATATATTGATATACTTATAATATTAAGAGAGTTATAAGAAAAAGTTAAATACAGCATATGTAATAAAGAGTAACAACAATCAAAGGCAAATTGAAGAACAAGAAGTGGATAAAATGTAACAACAACCACAGCAATAGCAACAAGAGTAGCAACAAAATAACAATAACAAATGATGATAATGGTAAATGAGAGCGTAGTGGAGTTGCACAAGCAGTTTTAGTGTAAAATTCAACAATAACAGCAACAAAAGCAACAACAAATTGCAAAAAAAAAAAAGACAAAGAACAGTAGCAATTGAATATGCTATGCAGCGAGTGGGGAATCGGCAACACAACTTTCAACTGCATACTATGTTGTATACGATACATTGGGCATTTGGGCGCCGCTGTCGGAGGGTGTTAAAATGTGGTATTTGTTAAGTCCAAAGTACTCAAATAGGAATAACCGCACTTGCAGGAAGAAGAATAAAAGTACAAAATATAATTATACACAATAAACTTATGTACCTACATATGCACATAGATACATATGTATGAGTGCAGCAGTGTAAGCGGGTTGCATGAGACTAAAAGCATAAAAACTGACATTTATTACAAATAATTCAGTGCAACAAAGTAGGAATTGTGTATATTTAAAAAGAATATTAGCACTCGAATGTGGGCATTGTGGACACTTATACATACATACACATGTATACACTTTTTAATATAAAATTATATTAAAATAAAAAGCAAGTTAAACTTTGTGTGTCTAATAGAAAACTTTAATTAGCAATTTTAAAATTATTGCATATTACACGCATGGAGGTATGTCTGTATGTATGTCTGAACATATTTGCTCACATGATATGTTGATTTGTAATGCTTCTAAATTAATATCGAAAGAACTGTGCTCTTAAACAAACATTTTTTATTACCAAATTCTAAAAATAGCAACTAACTGACTTTGAAAGGATTTTCTTATTAAGATCTACATATGTATATATGTATATTTGTAACAGAGCCGTGAGTTGTACCATAATAAGTAGAGACAATTCTCTTAGCAATACACTATTGCTGCAGTTATTGTAAAATGAAACCTTTTCACTAAAAAATTATTTAAACAAGTAAAGTTGACTAAAACATCTCAACAAATTTTTACTTTAAAGTGGCAAAAAAAATTTCATTAATTCTCTACTAAGGCATTGAGTAAGGCATTTTTGTTAAATTATTTGGTTGATAAAAATATATGAATAAGTGGTAAATATTTTTTTAAATTAATATTCGAAAATTCAATTTTTTTTTTTTTTAATTTTTTTAGAACCAGTTTTTAGTTATCAGTGACAGGTGATGGGAATACAATAGCGCGCCGATCAGGCAAAATTAGGGAAGGTCACTGCTATTGGAGATCTTATTCCGAGCAAGCTCCATAAATGGTGTATGGCGGTAATCTACTTTTTGGCGATTAAGCTTTTCTGAAATCAAAAATCCTGGCATATTGTTTTCAGTCAAAAATATTTGGGTGTGCTGAACGAGGGAATGATTAATATTTTGATTTTGACAACACAATTTGAATGATTTTAAAAAAAAAATTGTTATCAGCTGAAATTTCCACTTCAAATGGTTGAGAACAAAATAACAATAAATTTTTAGGTGCTCTTAAAATATACATACATATCTAAAAAAAATTGTGTACAAGTTGAAGACCGATTGGTGAATCTCCTTTTAAGAAATCGAAATCGGGCGGCTGTGAAATAATTTCATGTTGTTCAATTTTTTTGATTAAATTCAGTTATTGCATTTTTGTAAAATTCTCTTTTTATATAGTAAGAAAAAGCGAAAGGGAAAATTTGGAATTTTTGAAAATTTGTGTTGGATCTATGAAACTTGGTACATATGTTCCTTCAAACAACGAATATCTGCCAAACTTATATCACGGTATTATCAGCAAATACAATAAAACTGTTACTCGATGAACTACAAGCAAAAATTATGGAAACCACTTTCCAATGAATATAAGAAATTTATAAGTGTAACAGCGCCCCTCCTTAACTAAATGGGTTGATTTAAACTGGCTATCTGATATGCCGTACATAGACTTGGTTGGTTCATTGTGGTGTCAAGTAGAGTTGAGTCATAGTAGTCGCCAAAAAAAGAAATTAAAGCTTTTTGCAAAGTTTCTGTTTGAGACTTCTTAGCTTCGAAGCGCCTAAATAACTGACTCGTGCTCTTAATAGTAAAGAGTAGGTACTCATTCATGTTTGTCTCCCTGTATTCCTCAAAATTCTCAGTTTCAGTAACGACCACATATGACGCTGTTAGATTATTGCCCATCATCAGGTCAACACCAGTCCTTTTGGACATCGGTTGAACTTCATAAATACCGTGTGGATTTCATAGACTGGGAATCATTATCAATACATTTACTTGAATATGAAAATCATACACATACTTACATATGTATGCAGTAATGGTCGCAAATGTGCACTAAAAATACGTGCTCCTCTCACGACATGGTATATTTTGTAATGTACAACGAAAGCAATTATTTTTTAAGCATATAATAATTGTGGACCAGGATTCGAGTCCTGCTTCGACCAACACTGAAAATTACGGGAAACTAATTTTTGTAATGACGATCCCCCTCGGCAGGAAATAAAAAAAAAACTCCACCCAAAAACCCATCGGCCGTTCAGAGGCGACTCAGAATAAGCTGCAGGTCCATTTTGTTGGAAAACAACAAGACGCATACCAAAAATTGGAGGAGGAACTCTGCCGAAAATCGCTTCAGCGGTAAAAAAAAAGTGTGAATTATTGTATATAAATTACAGTTGATGGAGGATTTACAGCTTTGAACAGCTTTGGGTTGGATGAAGAGTTTAGAATGATTATTTTCCTATGAGCGAATCTTTCAAGTTCTCTGTTGCGGAACAAATATATTTAGACTTTTTTATTAGGTATGTCTTGAGCTCCTACTAATGACCCTCAGTCTCGTGCCACGTACTGCTACTAACTCAATTACTTCAAATGCTATAGACCCAAATGCTTTATTTTTATAAAATTATACAGTTGATTGGTTGATTGGTTGATTGAAAGAGTGAGGTTAGGGAACTGGCCGCATTTAAGCTTTGGGAGAAGGCTGCCTTATGTCCCGTTAGTTTATAACCAAAAAAAAATAAAGTTATACTAATGTAACTTGATGTAAGCCTCAACTCAAATGTTTTTAATTCCCTAGTAAATAAATTTAAACAAATTTAGTATGTAGTCTAAGAATCCCAGAAAGCCGTCGGCTAATACAAATCAATATAAAATTTTTGATTGTAGTGCATTTGTATTTTGGCTGCCACACAAAACGCCGGAAAATGCGCCGGCGACGGTTTACTTCGTAAGAGTAGTATAGACCAGTGGAGAGAGCCTAGAGAAATTTGTAAAATAATATAACAAAATATGTAATCCTTAATTCAGACTCATGCCAAGCTCCTTACAGACCCACTTTCATAGCACTAGCACTACTGCGCTCAAATATACATACATACAAACAAATGAAAACTTGTTCTTCTTCTTTTTCACATTTTTTTTTTATTAACTTTGCTCACTTCAGATTTGTTTCTTAGTTTTAACAAAGCTATTTTTGTTATTGTGCTACGGTTCATTCTTATTTTTTTTAATTTTTTTTTTTCGTAGGACAGAGAGGTATGTAGAGAACGCTCATTCATGCTCACCACGAGAATGTATGTATCTACAAGATATGTACTCGTTAAACACCAACAACAGCGAAAACAGCAAACGTACATACATACATACATACATTTGTATAAGTAACACTGATACAACAAACAACGACAGCAGCGTAACATCGGCAATAATGATAATCA